CAAAGTTAAAGTAAAAGGTGCAACCCAGCCTTAGACTCCTTGTTGTGTCCCATCATCTTCTTTATAAATCCATATCTATGGTTTTCATTTTCCAACACCCTGTATTAACAAACCTTATTAATTTCCAGTCAGCAACAGTGAATAGCACTCTGAACGCGCTGGACATTATGGGAGTTGACAAAGGAGGGAAGGGAGGAACAGTCGTGAATGTGTCGACTCTGCTAGCCCTCAGGCCAAAACCCAGCCTGCCTGTGTATTCGGCCACCAAAATTGCGGTACTACAGTTCAGCAATTCTATTGGGGTAAGTGTGTTACAGTGTCGTTTAGATGCAAATTCTGGGTCTTTATAGTGAATTCTGTAGAGGTTATGTAAGGTATGCCAAACAATGTATATAAAACTACTACAGATATAATAATGACAGCAATTTTAGACTACAATGGCAAACAAAAGGAGTATTTCTATTTTTCTTGAAGGAAAACAATTTATACGAATTGATGGAAATACAAGAGTTTTAAAGAACAATCACATAAAACCACTTCTTATTCCATTTGGCTTATATCCTTCAAAGGAAATTAACTCGAATAAAACACACTCAGTATTCACGTATTCGCACAAGAAAACATTACGGGATCAAGTCTTTTCAAGTCGAGTCAAACGGAACTTTTAAAGGGAAGACAAAGTTTCAAATGTAGAATATTTCTCGCGACTTTTTTTGGAATTTATTTCATTTCATTTTAACTAAATTGAATGGCTGAAGTTCCAGTAGTTTGACCCGTGAAATTTTAAATTCGCAGGCGGAGTTCTATTATTCGAAGTCGCAAGTTCGAGTCCTGACGGTGTGCTTGGGTCCTACAGATACTGCTATACTACAGAAGCCAAATATCTCTAACTTAGACAAAGATTTCACCCAGAACCAGACCACACAAGCCCCTGTGAGGCAAAGGTAAACCTCATGCTGCTTGGACTTCCTTAATGACAATAGTTTCTTAGAAAACTTTGCTGAAACTTTTTATTCAAGTGCTTACCGCCTTCCTTCCTTAATATTCTCTCAAATAAGTTTATGCCAACGCATATTTGAATACTCAACGCAATTTGAGGAAATATGACGGCAGCGGTAAGGTAACATATTTCATATTCACATTGACAAAATTAAATTATGCCGAGGCGTAGACGTTTTGCATACAAAAGCAGCATCTTGCCGATAAAAATTCATGAAAGTGAGATATTATAATTTAATTTTTCAGGGTTGAGTCCGCTGTGAACGGGATTATTGAAGTTATAAACAAAGGCGAGAGTAGTTCAACTTGGATGATTGCGAATGACAAGCCTGCGGTTAATATAACACAAAATATTTTAGGTGGATTTCAGGCTATGACTGATTCGTTAGGCTTAACCTTAGACAAATAAAAATCATTGTGCTAATCGTTCTGCATTTTAATCACATTATTGATATTTTGTCTTTTTGTATTAACTTCAACGGAAGTCAATATTTCATACAGTTTCATATCTAGAAATATGATATCTATCCTTTATTGTAATCCAATAAAGGATAAACAACACAAAAGCTAGTATTCGATTCTACTCCTCCTCTTTTTAATTTAGTTTTAATGAAATCATATAAAATGTATCTCAAAAAAAGTATGAAAGATTAACGAGTGAATTCATGTTATGTTCTACCAACCTTTATTAGTAAGGTTCTCGTGAACGATGGATATCATCAATAAACCCGGTCGAATTCAATTTCTCTTTCGCTATGACATTTCATGCGTGGACTGGGAGAGTGCTCGTTTGATCCATTTTTATTTTACTCGATTGGTGTACATTAATCTCGCGGATGATCTTTCGATTGTCGGTCCATCGAGGTGCTATATCGATATTTTATTTTTATGTGCGAGGTTGTTAACAATTGCATCTTTCTTTTGTAACCTTTTAACCGATGAACCACATTGGTTTCCTAAAATACAGTTAATTAGTCCTTATTATGCGCTCTGCTCAAAAAAGACAAATACTTGCGAAGTAAATGCAAAAAAAAATACAAACTTAATTCTGGCGGTCTTATCGCTACGGTTCTCTTCTAGACAACTCAGGGGTTAAAAGAAATAATAAAGCTTGAAAAAAAAACTAGTAGAGAGAAATAAAGTTCAAAGCATGATTACCCTACTGGAATCAAATTAGTAGGATACTACTTCAACTCACCACTAAATGCTTCAAACTTCATCTTAATTTCAATTTCTAGTAAGTACTTTCAAACATCGACAGCATAACATGTCGCTAATATTTATCTACAATTGCTCCTGGAACTTCTAAAAGTGCTCATTAAAGTAACTTTCAGTATAAAACAGCTATTCTAACTTTAACCGCAACTTAGTTTTAAGCGCGTTCTGAAATGAACCTCAACTTTACCTCGGAGATTTGTTACCCTTCACCAAGTTTTAAGGGTTTGTTTTTAATAATTAATTCACTCTTTGTGTGGCTTTAAGCAGTGATAACGACCGATCGTTTCTTTTGAAAATAAAAGTATCTATAAGGCTTCAGTTAGGCTGAATTGCACCACTTTACGTTGACCGTAACCATGACGATAACCGGTGTTTTTTGTATGGAGTTTGACAGATTTTTGACGTTTGTCAAAGTTAAGGAAGATTGTGCAACCCAGCCTTAGAGTAGACTATTCTCTTTGATTTTTTTTTTGCGTAAACAGACTAGCAGCATAGATTTATTTACACTTATAGGTTAAGTACCTACTTCAAAAGTTATTGTATCATAACTGTCTTCATTTCATCTATTACGAGTATGAAAAATTTATCAAGTAGATTAGTCATAAGGTTACACAATTAAAACATCAAATAAGTAATGTTCAACACAAAAGTGAAAACAACTTTACGACTACGTAACCTCCAGACTTGTCTACCAGACTAAGAAAGGTTACACAGAACAACTTCTACAAGTACCTAGGTAAGTAAATAACACTTTATACGTCTATTTTCAGTAAATAAGTTCAAAAGTAATTAACGTGAGTCGTGACGTTAAATCGAAATTAATACTATCTTCAGTTCGTAGGATTGCTTTTAAAATCGCATTTAATATGTAAACTTCGTAGTCAAATTAAAGTTAGTTTTCCACTTACCTGTTGTAACCAACTAGTATTTCAATTGGACTTCTCGAAAGTTCTTTTGCGAGTTAATTTGTCAAAAGCGAAAAAGAAGGAGAAACTGTTTGAAGTTGAAAGGAGTTGAGTTGCGTCAAAATTAAATTACATATGTCCATTATTGGGTACAAAAGGTTGATAGAAAATGTACCTATATTTGAGTGGGATATTAAATTGCATCCACGTTTTTAACAATTTCAAATAATAAGGCACCGGCACTGACTCCAAAAATATCAATCATGGTCATAATAATTATACTAATTAAATAAAGAACGTAATTATTTTTCAACTATTTAGATTTAGTGTAGTTTTTTGGTGTCAGTTAAATTTTTTAAAGTCGATTTTTTTATTTGGAATCAATTAAGGCGATTTTAGGTGCAGACAAATCAAAAGTGTAATCATCAGTCTCAGTCTACCGCTAGACAAAAGTATTCCCGAAGACACTGTAAATTAAATATCCCCGATTGTCTATTGTTCTTTTATAGAGACCAGCCATCTTGCGTGTGCCATCGCTCCATGTAAGTACCTGGAGAAAGTCCTACACTGCACTTGTCAAGAACAAGAGTTTATACAGAGGAAATACAAATGAGTAGGTCAATACGTATGCGGCGCGCACGCACACACTGACAAAATACCTCGCTAATCCACGCTAAATTTTGTCAGTGTGTGCGTGCGCGCCACATACGTATTGGCGCGCTCACATACAAACCGCGCTCGATGCGTTTCTATGAAGATGACCTATTCATTTGTATTTACTCTGGTTTATATGTATTATTATGTATTACTAATGCAATAAATGTCACACGCCTACGAACTAACCCACGTTATTATTGAGATTGAAAGAAATAAAATTATCCAATAAAGAATAAACCCAAGAAATAATAAAAAGAAATATAATTGTAACCAAAAATCCATCTTCACAAAATCCAAACGGATACAAATGGAAGCACCTGACAGTCGTTCCCGTAAATCAAAGTCGGGCATGTCGATACCTCATTTCGGAGAAAACGTGTGCTGACAAATTGGAGTTTCAATACCCAGTAATACGGGGCGATATTAACTGGCATAATTACACGTGCCAGCGCGGCCAGACCGGACGGTTGGCATTGGCACTTGGCAGAATAATGCACTCATTGGACTCCGCCGGGAAACGGGTGATTTACCGAGGATCTGTTTAGTCTGTGTTGTTTGAAAAGGCAATTTATGCAAATTATTTCAAACACACGATCGCTCTCTCTGCAATCTTTGTTAGTCTGTTTTGTTTGAAAAGGCAATTTAAGCAAATTATTTTAACACACGATCGCTTTTTCTGCAGTCACGGCTTATACTGGCCATTTTGGTGCTTAGTTTTTGGGTGCTTGGTGTTAGTTGATTAGTTTTATAGAGCTATTTTATTTTTTAAATAAATAATTAATTACTACATATTTCTTACTTATCAATTGAAATGCCACATTTACTTGGAAAAAAACTTTTGGAAAACCCACCAAATCCAACCAAATGACTGTGACTTACGTGACTTGAATCACGTAAGCCAAAATACTTTATTCCCACACGGGGATTTTCGATAAACGGTTGAGCTTCCAATTGTAGAGAAGATGTAGTTTCTTCTTTCAGGTCAATTTAGTCGTTATTGCCCAAGACAGAAGATAAGATTTAAGTTTCACACCGATAGTTAGCTGAATGTAGCTAGTTCTGTGATGATGAGTCCCTGTGGGATCCCACTAATTTATGACACACATTAGCTTAAACTGTGCATGCACTTGCGTTTAGGTAAAATTGCACAGTGAAATAGTGTTGGGTGTCTGTTCCACCTATTTTATATGGGAATAAATATACGTTGATAGATTTGAAGGGTTACCTGGGGTGTTCCCCTTCAATAGCTCGTGCTCTGGGCGATTTGTCGTATGTAGTAAAGTAGATTTTCTAAAATCATATCATTTATTTATTTCGATATGTTTTTTCATGAATTCACACCCAAATCAAATATGTATATCAATCTATAATCTACACTAGCGCTCTAATCAAGATACGAGTATCAATAATTAATTAATTGGTACCAAATATGTAGCAAATGTTATGATTGAGTGTAGTACAGATGCACTAAACTGCGGCAAATCATTGTTGATCATTTCTCGTTAAGTTATAGGTAATTATAGTACATAAAATGTGTCTAATGCATTATTGTTCGCCTAAACTCAACTACCAGTAGCCCAGAAGTCCACGATAACAATCTCATATTACGATAACTCATGCCAAATAAAAACACTCATATCTGAAAAATGCACCTGCCGGTCGAATTAATAACAATTCCTACTTGGAATTTACGAGCATTGCACTCGTAAGCACGGAGAACCGCAGTGCAGAGAATAAATCTCGGAGGAACTGAATAACTTGGAACCCGTTACGTACAAGTGTTTTACTCTGAAATCTTATATTCTAGACTATTCTAGACTTTACGACATAGAAGAGTTTTCTATGTGGTAGGCGAAATGTGAAAACTAGACAAAAATTGTCCGGTTTTGGCAACTCAATGGTCTTTTGTGACACTTCATTGCAAACTGCATACGGGTTTCGATAAATAAGGGTGTGTTTGATTTCTATGTTAGCTTTATACAAACATGTAATAGGACCCCGGGTCATCACCTGTAGAATACACAGACCATTTATTTTGTTAGCTATTCTAAAACAACTTTGCCTACCAATGAAAGTTTTACCTATTTAAAAATGTGGCTCTACTAAATAAAGATACTACCTAATACTATTTCTTTTGTTAAAAACAAGGCTCATTTTTAATAAAAAATGAAGGTATAGTTCAAAGATCCTTATTAACAACTTAAATGAGCCTTCGTTCCTTTTTGCATGCTTAAATATTCCTTTGCCTTATTTAGGTACTTTTATACGAAAATATCCGTAATTTCAACCGACAATACCTCTAGATTAGCTTTTTTCCTCACTAAATCACCATCAGGTCCCATAACCAACCACAGTGGCGGGCCTTAATTAATATTTCACGATGCTAAACTGGGGAATTGATGCAGACTCGTGTTTTGCCAGCTGTCCCGCGAAACGCGTCCCGTATTGGGACAACTGGGAATTATATTCCCAGAGCCCAGAGGTGTCATTAGCTGGGATCGCTGTTAGTAGCAGACCCCTGATAATTTTTAGAACGCCATGCCACTTTTTAAGACGGCAGTGGCTGGTTTAATATTACACATACGTATTGCCTGATGCAATATAATTGCGCGCGAGCGATAAGGATGGGTAGCTTGGGGTCATTGGACAAAATTCTACGTGCTCACGGACCAGGCTTTAGTAATTAAATTGATTTAAGTTGATGCAAATAGAGGTAGATAGGCATATTTCTGAACGGAGCTTAAACCGATTCAATTTCAAGTTTAAATCGATGCATGTGATTGGTTGAATTTCAATGTTAAGATCAATCACGGGAGATATTTTTTTAAAGCTCAGCTAAGCTAACATCTCACCAATTTAGTGATTGTATACATAGAACTCGCTTGAAGCCACAATGTAGACACATACATATATAGGTACTTGTTAAATTTCAGATATCAAGGTAAACACACCATAAGAATCCCGATTTAAAAACACTTATTCGTAAAAGTATCACGAAACTTCTGGGAAAAATATTCCCAGCTGTCCCGTAACGAGAAGGCTGTAGCGGGACTACTGGGAAAACACTGGGACGCCGAACATTTGCCAAATCCGACCCCGTTTAAGAATTCACCGCCGTATTTCAACAGATCCAAATGAGAGCTCTGATTCTGAATAAACTGGAGATTTTAGAGCTCGAGAAAACACTAAAGAGCGTAGACTAAGCCGTTTAGCGTCAAATGCCTGGAATTTGGCGCGTTTGAATGGAGAGCTCAGTGACCAAGATTAACTGAGCTACAGATTCTGAAGCCGTTTGCATGCTAAGAGGGATTCCAAATCTTAACGTCAGAAAGTCGAATGTTGTTTAGGAGAATGTTAGGTATTTATGAAATGTTTAGAGAATATTATATTACTTATTCAAACGAACACATTTTGTTATTTCAGAAAAAACTACATAAAAACATAAATATCGGAAACCGAGATTACACTCTTCATAAAAACCATTTAAAAATCCTATGAGAACCTTTTTTACTTCTACGCGGCCGAAATCGTAAAAAGTCATAACGTTTTTTTTTAAGAAATATAAAATTGCTTGAAGATTAACATTATTTTTATTTAATTCAACATTCATATAAATGACAGTGTGACAGACACGACCTTTAAAATCCAGAAAAAGAAACATAAAAATAGGAGTTACAGGACATACAAAGTGCCGTGGAATAACGCCATTGGCTTAATAAAAGTAATAAACCAATCCCCTAAGCCTGTAGGTGTAAGCCTGACAAACATCCCCGCAGTTTAGCAATATCATCATCCGAGTCAGCACGCCTAGTCTGCGTAAACAAATTTCAGGTATTGGGATTACATAAAACAGGAGGATGTCCACAGAGCAGAGACATCCAGAAAGCTCACTTTCATTGTATTTGTAAAAATGGTTTGATTTCAAAATACATAGTTAAGGCCAACATCATTGTTGGTGAAGTTTTAGGTAGATATATGATATTATAACGCTATCTAATAAATGAAGGCGATAGATTACAGGATACTACAAAATGAATATCGTAAAATAGAAATTGCCTTAATTTTATAACATAACTTTAAGATTCATAGTATACTTTAGAGTAGAGAGCGATGAAGCCTTTCACTCCATACTAATAGTCTTTTCTGCTGTGAAAAACAAGTGAAAACCCAAACCTACTATTCGTTTCTATTGTATACTATCCTCCTGTTAAAAACAGGTCTATAAAACGCGAAATATGTACGTATTCGATTACCTCGCCACGGTCCATTTGGTGGGGCGGCGGACCCGAAAATGACATCAAATTACATGGGATTCCAGGAGATCTGGGTCGGTTTTTCAGTGAAATTTTCATGAGACAAAATTCAAATTATTTTATAAACTGACTGTCTTTCTCTGTAGGGTTTTGGGAAATGAGTTTATTAAATATCTGAACAAGCAGCTGACGGGCCCAACAATTAGTGGTTAAATGGAAAATGTAGTTCAAATTGTTTAAAGTTAGTAATGAATTGATAATTATTATGAATAAGGTAAAAATATTTGTCATGAGCAAACATTATTCGTAACAAGTAAACAAAAAAGAAACGATAATAATCAACATAACTAATACAACACAATTAGAAGAAAGGAAAATTAACAAGAGAATTCTCAAAGGGAATGTTAAATAGAGAGTCAGGGGTAATTTTCATCGACTTGCCATCTATTTTTCTCAATTTAAAGAGTGAGACAAAAATACCAATTAAATTGAATTTGTCTAGAAAATTTTGCTTTGTAGAGTCAAAACGCACCGCAACATGAGTACCTACTTGAGATGTGATCAGTAAAAGTATTCTAATCTTCTTTCGAAGTACAAAACAAGCAGGTATTGCCACTTCTAGAAGGAAAAAAGTAACGTCACAAAGGAAATTCCCGACATTTGTAAATGTCGAGTAATTTTTACGAATAAGAGGAAATACCGAGGCCAAGGAAATACAATTTCCGTGCGTGCCTTTTATGTATGTTGACTCTATGATGCTTTGCCCCATTCCATGAGAACCTGCATATAGAGTCACTAAAACATGCACTCAATGTGCTACTGCTGGAAAGAAACTAGTAATAGAATCCTTGAATTGCTATATTGACTCTATTCGATCATTTTAAATCAACTAACTTGATATAGAGTCACTAAAACTTTTATGTACTTAATTGTTGTGGTCTAAATGTTAGAGACTGAGAGATAGAAACTTACTTATAGTATCTTTAAATTTATACAAATACAAATAATTTATTGAATTTAAAACATACATTAACATTTACACTTGTATACCTTAACTAATACAGAAACAAAAAACAAACGGTGAACATTTTTGTTGACTACCGTCAACACCGACAATATCACTCGTACGTCCATTCAACGGAGCAGCTTATAATGAAGCTATCTCTACCTAATTACCGTTTTCAAGGAAGCTGGTATGAAATTATCTTATACCGCGCTGTAGTTTTAACAAATGTTTGGTTACTTTAAATATTTAGATGACAAGAGACAAATAAATAGTTATAACATTTTTTAAGGAAGAAGATAGTGATCTTTCACTCACAAAACGATTCGTTTAGCAATAAATTACGAACAACTTTAGCCTTTAACCCTTAACTTGCTTGGACATTAATTCGAAATGGCAACTAGCGTTACAAATTAAACCCACAGACAAGCCGAAAGAAACAATAAGAAACTTCTTTCCACAAGTCGAGGTCTCGTAATTACATGCAAATTAAAGGCTGCTCCTTTAACAAACGATCGGGCTTCAGGGGGGTAATAAAGGGAAATGTAAAAAACAGGGGAATTTATCAGCTAGAACCTCCGTTGAAACCACATTTGCTCGCTTTTTTACTGTGCATTTTGCAAATAAATTGTTGGTCTTGTGAGTAAAATGTGAAAAAAAAGAATGAGAGTAAGTAGATAGATGTGTCTAGCAAACTGAATACAGTTACTAAATTGTACTTATTATTTTGTGAACTCACCCTGGGTTGCACGTTAACAAATGTCAAAAGTCTGTTGAAACTCCATACAAAAACACCATTTATAGTTACGCTTTAATTTAAGATAAGATACAAAAGTCTGTTGAAACTCCATACAAAAACACCATTTATAGTTACGCTTTAATTTAAGATAAGATAAGGCAGTTAGAGGTAAGATAGCCAGTTCCTCCGTGGTTGAGGATTCCGGGTGAAGCTCGCTTCCACCTTCGGCCTGATCATCACTTACCATCAGGTGAGATACAGGCCAAAAGCTTCGTTGTGGAAAAAAAAAGATGGA